ATGTATGAGTGGTTTTCTTCCTCCATGGATCATAAACTTCATGAGGGCAGGCTCTTCGTTTTGTTCACTGCTGTATTCTCAGCACTTATAACAGTGCTGGCACATCATATCTTCTCAGTATGTATGTACTGAATAGATGAAGAATGACAGTAGCCCTATGAGGTTTGGTACTATTATTTTTCACACTTTACTGATGAGGAAACAGTATCAATTGAAGTACTCACAGTTCTACTGATAAGTGGCAGAACTGGGATTTGCATGGGAAAAAGCGCTTGCCTTTGTTGAGCTTGTACAATGCGCATGGCATTATTCTAAGTGCTTTATGTAGATTAACACTTAATCCTCACAAACCCATTTTACCGATGAGGAAACTAAATCAGAAAGGGGTTACAAACTTCCCTGGCATCTTTGCACTTGCTAGAAATTGGGAGCCTGTTGTTTTAACAACTTTGCTATACTTTATTTTTTTATACTTTCTAATTCTAAAACCAATTCTTCAGGGAGTATATAACTTTGCCTCTTAATTGCCAGGAGAATGAGGGAGAAGAAGAAATCTAGAGTTACTAACATTATTATGATTGGGGACTGTCACAGATGGTAGAGTTATCAATGAAGTCAAGGGATGTAGGTTGAGTTGATTTCATTCTCCCTTAACTCCAGACTGCCTCCAACTGCCTCCTTGACATCATCACTTAGATATTAGGATACAAGGTCGGCTGCAGTAAAAGGGATCTAGAGGCACAATGGCAGATTACAGAAGTAGTAGCTGTCTCACACCAAAGTTGAGCTGGTACTCGGGATCTGCCCAATGAAGTCCTCAGGAGCCTGCTGCTCTGTGACCCCTAGAATGTTTCTCCCAGTCTTAGTGTGTTTGCACTGCTATATCAAAATACCTGAGATTGGGTAATTTATAAAGAATAGAAACATATTTTCTTACAATTCTAAAGGCTAGGAAATCCAAGATCAAGACACCAGCAGGTTTGGTGGCTGGTGAGGGCTGCTCTCTGTTTTTAAGATGGTTCCTTGTTGCTACATCTTCTAGAGGGGACAAATGCTGTGTCCTTACATGTCTGAAGGGATCAAAGGGCAAAACAGGGCCTAAGCTAGTTCCCTCCAGTCCTTTTATAAGGACACTAATCCAACCATGAGGGTAGGGCCCTCATGACTTAATCACTTCCCCAAAAGGCCCCACCTGTTAATACTGCCACAACGAAGATTAAGTTTCAACATGAATTTTGCAGGGGACATCATCATCAAACCGTAGCACTCTCCAACTTAACTCACCACCCCAACCACATTTCACTTATCAGAAAGGGACAAAGAGAAAGGGCAAAAGACATCCAATTTCTTCTAGAGAATGATCTGGAAGTTGTACACATCATTTTTGCTCACACCCCACTAGCCAGAACTTAGTGACATGGTCACACTTAGAGTTTAATACAGGTGATCATCTGTCTGGCTAGATATTCTATTATCATGGTTGAAGAGCAGAATGCATATTAGTGGTCAGCTAGCAAGCAATATGTACTACAGATATCTCTAATAGGTCTCTCAAATTTAACATTGCCAAAACTAAATTCCTGCTTGTTCTTCCAAAACCTGCGCCTCTGCGCAGTTATCCCCGTCTCAGCCAATGGTGGAAAATAGCATAAACTCAAGGGCTTGATTTTAGACATATTGAGTTTTAGGTGTCTGTAGAACATCTAGTAAAAATTTCAATAAGAGGTTGAAGATATTGTATCTAAAGCTTCTGAGGTCTGTGTTTAGGATTTAGACTTGATCCCTGACTGAAATAAATGATAGAAGAACAGTGTATGTAAATGGGACTGTCAGAAACTATATAATATGGTAGGCAAAGAGAAATAAGGGTTTAGAGGGAGGATTCTGTATAGGAGCCTTGAGGAAGAGTAGCTCAAGACATGGGAGGAGAGAACAGAGAATACAAGGTAACTGAACCAAGGGAGCAGTTTCCAGGAGGCAGTGTTTAGCAGTGCGGAAGGCTATAGAGAGGTCAGATATTATGAAAATTGAGAAGCAACCTTTGAGCTTGGCTATTATGCCATAGTGACATTGATACAATCAATTATACAGCAAAATGGAGGTAGATGCTAAATTTGAGTAGTTTAAGAGAGACCTGGAAGGAAATGGCAATCCGAGCATAGATGGCTCTTTTAAATAGAAGGGACAAAGTCGGTAGAGGGAAAATTTATGAATGGGTTAGGGAATGATTGCGGGAGTAAGAGTCTTGAGGTAAGCTCTATCCTCACCAAAAAAAATTAGCTGTAGAGAGGAGGAAGGATGTAAGTCAGGAGGTCAGGAGGAATCCAAATTTAGACAAATTTGTAATAAGGGTGGGGCATGAAGTTCATGCTTGATGTGTGTAATGCTAACTAATGATACAGATAATACTAACACTAATATTATTACTACTAAACACTAACATTTATTGAGCACTTATCATATGCCAGACAGTGTTCTTCATGGGGCTAATTTTGCTTCAACAATATTTCTTAAATACTGGGAACTATTCATACACAGAAAGCTTAAGTGTCTTTCAGTAGTTTAGTGTGTAACATTTTGATGCAGCCTAAAAAATAGCAACAATGACTTTCACCCCACCATATCTGACTTTTTCTCTTCCAGGCTCCTGGCTTATTTCTGATCCTGGGGCATGTGGGGTAATAAAGAAATTGTGTTTATACATTTTGATTCTCTTGTTGTGGATAACGTCAACGAGAAATCCTGAGCAACAAACAACCCCGCCCCCAAAACAAACAAACAAAAAACTTCACTAGCAATTTAGGACAATAGGTTTCATTTAAAAAAGAGTTTGTATTATCAGATACATATTAGAAGATACCTTCATAATCAATGAAGTGTTGGGTTATTCTAAAAAAGTGTCCACAGTCTTATAGTTGTGACTTCTTGAACTGGCAGTTCTTGAGGGCAGTGATAGGATGACTGTTGATCTTTCATTGTTTCCCAAGGCCTGGCAGATAAATAGTAGCTCACGTACTCCATGTAGTCCAAGGCCTAGCACATAACAGAAGTTCAAAGTTTGTTTAAGGCATTAATGATTATGTTTATAAAATTAAACTGTTGTTTTTACTCTACACCTGAAGAGGAAATTTTTAGCAACTACTGGGTCTCATCTTTACTAGAAATAGTTTAAACAATTTTCTATTCACTCAGTAGATACTAAGTCATTTTTCTGGGCAAACTTACTTGAACAAAAATATGGGTCTGATATGGGAGAAAAAAGTTTTCATATAAATTGATGTATACGGAGGTGAAACACTACTAATATTCTAAAGATTCCTGATAATATTCATGGAGGCTATTTTTATCAGAAAATATTTCTAAATTTGAAAATGGATAAAGCAAAGAGCAGTGTGTTCTTGAATCGAGTCTGACACTAATATCACACATAAGAATACATATTTAACATTAATGAACTAAAAGGCATATAGCTAATTTCTCCAGATTCCTAGGAGGAATGAGGATCTTTCTTGAGCTTAGTAAAGCACTGGATAGTCATTTTGACATCTAAGAGAAGATTTATTTCCCTTCCTTCTTTAATCTTTTTGGAATTCAGGGATTTCTGCCACATTTTGATATACCAGGCTATTATAAAATCACATTTCATTTATTCAGAAAATTTCTACTTAAGATGGATTAGAATAGCTAAAAGTATCTTCACATGCTATGTATAGTACTAACAGTTTGTTTTAAGTATTCTAACAGTAAAGTCTTTAAAGATTTTCATTCTTGTTTATTTTGATAATAAAGATAAATTCTTAAAGAATTATAATTCCAACTAGTCCCTTCCATAAAATTTAACAGCAAATAGTTTCCAAATGTGGATCTGTAATGGGGGAAATGAAAAATGAATAAAGAGCTGAGTTAAAACATCTTAAAATTGAACCTAGCTTAACACTATCATTTATCATCAGTTGTCCCAGAATAATTCAAACTTATCTAGCTTATTTTTTTAACAGGTGATTTACGTTTTTATAGTTATAGTTGTGACTATATAAAAAATGTGCTCTAAGAATGACAGTTTAAAAATACATTTCTATGTATAATTGTTGATATAAAGAATTTGAATACTACATGATTGGGGCCTCATATAGGATTTTAAGGGCTTATCAGCAAAGTTGCAAGCCATAAGAATGTATGAATTGTTTGTGATTTTCTTACAACTTGGCTGGCAAGTGTTGTAAAGCCATAAAAAGATAAAACTCTTTTAAATAAAATGGTGACCCTGGTACTAAATATGACACATGCCTCTAAATGGGTTCAACTGTCATAAAGATCAAAATTAGCCTTTATCCAGCTGGGGTCAACCAGAAGGCCACTGCTCTTAATAGACAACCTAGTTAATGTCAACACTGCAGTAGACAGGCTTTTTACCTTCTAGTCTCTGGTAAACCAGTGACAAATCCTGTGTTGGCAAGAGACCTAAGCAAATGACCTTGGTCCCCTGAAAACTTGCCCGCACTATCGGCCATCCCGTGAGTCTACAAGGGAAGCTCCGGGTGGAAATGGGCTGGGGTTGGAGACCCAGTAACAGTATGCTTTGGCCACGCCTTGGGGCTGGGGGCTATCAAGGCCGCCTGGGCTGACTTTTGGAGCCGATTCAATGCCAAACAAAATCGGAGGCGTCCCTCAGTTGGGTAGACCAATGGGCTCTCCAACCCTACTGGGGGAGTGTAGGGGGTTTCCGGAGTGTACCCCGTTTTTTCAGGCAGGTCACAAACAACAGGGTCTAAAAACAGATATTACCCTTTAGGTTCAGTCCCTTTAGGTCGCCAAAATGGCGACCGACCCTGGTGGGACTCCGAGGAGCCGCAGACCACCTCCCCTTCCCTATGGCCCCTGCGCCAGCGGCGACGGCAAGCGGGAGGAGGACAGAGCCGGCGAGGGAGTGAGGGGCGGAGCGCAGCGCCCTCCCGCGCGCGTCTTCGCTCCGCCCCACGTCCCCGCGTCCCGGCCTGGAGCCTTCGCCAGGCCCGGCGGCGCGCGCTGCCTGACGGGATACTCGGCCCGCCCAGCCAGTCCTCCCGTCTTGCGTCGCTGCCGCGAGATCCGTGTTTCTCCCAAGATGGTGGCGCTGGGCTCAGGGTGACTACAGGAGACGACAGGGCTTTTTCCCCTTCGCCAGAACCCCGACACACCACCCCTTCGCTCGCTCGCGCATCCCGCCGCCGCGTAGCCATCCGCCGACCTGGGCGCCCGCCATCCGCCGCCTACTTACGCTTCACCTCTGCCAACCCGGCGCTCTCGGCTGCGGGCGGCGGCGCCTCCCGTGGCTCCTCCTCGGAATAGCTTGCGGCCTATAGCCCCTGCGAGGAGGGTTCCGCAGCCCCCCAGTGTGGACAGGCAGCTGCTGCTGGCGACAAACGCCGGGATTTCGGCGGCTCCGGCGCCCCCTTTCCCGGCCTCGGTTTCCGGAGAAAGAAGCGCGGGTCCCGCATGAGCCCCGGCGGTGGCGGCAGCGAAAGGGAACGAGGCGGTGGCGGGCGGAGGCGGCGGGCGAGGGCGACGACGACCAGTGAGGCGGCCGCCGCTGCGAGGGCCGCAGCCCAGGCGCGGGGGCGACGACAGGTCAGTGTTGCCGCGGACGCAGCCCGGACTGGCGGCGCTTGCTCCCTTCCGTCCCTTGTCTCCCCGGCCACCCTTCGGGTCCCACACTGGCGAGGGTAGACACCCACTTCCGCCACCCCCTATTCCGACCGCCGAAGCGAGTGTTTGGGGGAGCGTGGTCTGGAGGGGCTAGTGCCAGGAGTAGGCCCCTGGTGGCAGCGGCTGCTGCAGCCGTAACTGTCAGTCCTGGCTGAGCGCCGGAGGGAGGGTTTTGTCGCCCAAAGGGAGGCGAGCGGGCCCGGGGCGGGGCGGGACGTGCAGGGCGTCGAGAATTGGGCGTCCTTGGAGCGAGGCTCGCCGAGCCAGACTGGGCCCCAGGCTGGGAAGGACAGGCCTTCTCCTTCAAAGGGGAGCTCTTTCTCGGCGTTTTCGAGGTTTCTGGCTTTCTTGGGGAAGACATAGTCAGCCGTATGCTGGGTGGCATGGGGTTTTGGGGGAGTGAATCGATGGGGAGAGACAAGCGGATGAAGTGGTTCGTCAAGCCCACGGGTTATGTTCACTGATTATTCATGTGTTGCTGGTCAACGGGATTTCTGAAGTTGAACGTGAGTTATTGGGTTTGCCAGAGACTGCTGTGTTAAATGCAAACCTGCATGCAAGCAGTAGGCCTTTTTTTTACCTTTTCAGTTGAGAAAATGAAAGGACGCTTTCCTCATCTTTCTTGGTGTGGAGGCTTTTTGTTGGTAAAGTCAGAATCGAATGTACCAAATGTCTGTACAATTTAAACAAATAATTTTAATACAAATACTGTTGTTAAGTTTAGAATCCTCAAAAGGTAATTTAGTCTCTAAATTTTTTTATGACTTCCTATGGGTGTACTAAAATAGAAACAGTACAAAATTTGTTTGGGGTTATGTTTATTAAATAGTTAGAGTGCTGTTGAAAAGGAAAACTAATAGCATATGGGATTTACAGTCCAAAGTTAACCCTCAATTATGAAGAAATATGGATATGACCCATAATTTTGATCATTCCACTGCTTGCAATATCGAGAGATGCAGCAAATTAGCCCAGAATTTTTGGAGAGGGAAAGGGGTTTGCGGTAGAGATGACCTAAAGTTCAAGAAATACAGCTGTTAAAAGTTACATGTCAAAGACTCATAGGTACCTAGTAAATGTTTAATAAATTGGACAAATGGGATGAGAAGTGTTTTCCTCATACCTTTGACTAATACTTAAGAGATTATTTGAGAAATCTTGTAAAATTTAGAATTTAGGAGAGACAAGAAATTTTTGTTTTGGTATGTATAGTGGAAATAGCCTTGGAATTCGATCTTGCTTTTAAATCTAAACTACTTACCACATTTTTAGTAAAATGAATACAATATTAATGGTGCTGCTGCTAAGCTCTAAGGATGACCAGAAGCCCTATAAAGAAACACTAATAAGCATGGCAAAAAAAAAAACAAAACCCCAGGAAATGGTTTCAAGAAATAATATGCAGTCTTTATATATTTCTAGTATGTATAGAAGAAATATAAGAACAATACAAAGGAATAACTTGTAATCTTTATTTACAAAATTAAAATGTAAACTATGAAAGTCTTATTGTGTCAATATTTATCAACCAGCATTAGCTTGCTAAGTAGTATGCACACCAATGTGCACACCATTCTCTGGACATTGCCCTTGGCACTGCCCCCCTCCCCCCATTTAACTATACAGAGATACAAAATACTGTGTTTTGATTTCAGAGGTTTTGTAAGCTGGTTTATTTTCTCTCTCCTAAATTCTTTTTTTATGACTTAAGCCTTTTTTTCATGGCTCCCTAAATAAAGATATTTACTGGTCAGAAGTGTGAGGAAAACACGTTCTCCTACTTGTCCAGTCCCTTTTAAACAAGATTTATTGGGTACCTACAGTGTCTTTGACATGCAACGTTTAATCAGTTGTGTTTCTTAAATTTTGAGATCATTCCTATGTCAATCTCCTTTCTCCTCTCCAAAAAAATTTGTAATAATTTACCGTTCTTCTCAATATCAGTCAGTGGAATGATCCAAAACTATAGGTCATAGCTGAATTTTTCAGCCCAAGCACTTGAAATGATGTTTCCAATTGTCTGTTTTCTTAAATGGTTGCTGGTTATGTTCTCCAGTCATGTTGCACACTTTTTGTTTAGACCTATAATTGTTTAGGTCTAAATGTAGAAACACTACGTTAAGTACATATGCAGCTGTTAAAAAATCAGTTTTCAGATTTTTATGAGTGAAGAACAAATTTTCAAAAGTTATCTTTCAGGTAAAATATGTGAGTACAGTCTTAGGTGCTTTTTTGATGATGGTTCAGGACAACAGTTTTGACTGGTTTTGAGTGTTCCCATCACTGCCGAGGGTAAAGATAAAATTTGATTATCAGAGACATCATGGTATGTATAGTGGAAATATCTTTGTAATTAGACCCTGCTTTTAATTCTGGCCTTATCCTAATTAATCTTGTTGAGCCACAGTTTTGTTATCTGTAAAATGGGCTGGTGAAACTACCTCAGAGTTGTGAGGATTAAAGTATGTAAAATGCTTAACACACAGGCACTCAATAAATATTACCTTAGAAGGCTTTCTATCTAGTTTTTTCTGAATGGTTTCAAAGTACCTCAGATATAGTAGACTATAGCATATTATCCTTTATATTGTTTATTTGCCTTCTCATTAGCTGTGAACTCATTCTTTAAGACCAAGGATTCCTAGTGTTTTCCAGAGAGTGTGTTACCAGATGTCTTAGTCTTTTTGGGCTGCTATTACAAAATACCATAGACTGAGTGGCTTATAAACAACAGAAATTTATTTCTCACTGTTCTGGAGGGCTGAGAATTCAAAGATCTAGGTACTGGCAAATTTGATGTCTTGGTGAGGGCCCATTTCCTGATTCATATACAGCTGTCTTTTCACTGTAACCTCCTGTTGGGGAAGGTAGAGGGAGTTCTCTATAAAGAGGATCTCTTTTATAAGGGCACTAATCCCATTCATGAGGACAGAGCTGCCCAAAGGCCCTACCCACCATCATGATCTTTGGGGTTAGGCTTTCAACATATGAATTTTGGGGAAACCCATTCAGATCATAGCACCAGAGTATGTATAAATTAGTTATTGGTAAATCAGTAGATGGTCAAGTAACAATTATTGGGTACTTAGTGTGGCTACTATGAGCCGAGCTAGGTACAGGGGCCACAAAGACAAGAAAGATGTCTGTGTGTCTTTTGGAAGCTTATAGTCTAGTGACTTTCTTCCATATAATACCATTTTTTTTGTGAAACCCTAGCATGTAATGGACCTTCATTTTCCCATGCCCATCCAATGTTAGGGCAGTTCTGTGGACTTAATACCTCCAACCCACCAGCTACTCTAAAGACTTAACTGTTTTACTTCCTTTTTTATGCGACCCAGCGGCGTGTTTATGTCTTAGTCCCAGCCCACCACCTGATATCTTGCACATAATGTGTTTATAGTTGTGTGTGTGTATGTGCGTATACGTCTATAAAATAAAAAAAATTTACTCTGGCAGTTGTCTGTAAATACTCTTTTTTTGTGGCGGTGATTATCATTCTGTCTTTTGGCAATAGATTGAGGTCAGCTATTCTATGTCATTTTATACATGAGGAAATTGAAGTGCAAAGCTTTAAAATCAGTTTCTTAAAGTCACCCAGGTGGCAGGGCCAGAACCAGAATCTGAGTTCTTTGGGTTCTACTTTAGGACTTCATGCACACTGGGACATGTTCTGTCCTACTTTTGGGGAGTAGTTAGTTACACTTGCTTCGTGGTTACCCACCCACCTTTTTGGAGATAATGTGAGTGTTTCCTACACTGTTTTTTTTCTTTTTTAAGCAAGGCCCATCACTTCAGAATCTATACTGTTAATAGAAGGCAACCTTCACAGGATGCTGCCAATGGACCTTTAATTTCTTCTAATAAAGGAAAAAAAGTAAAATTATATTAAATAGAAATTATTAGTGTTGATCTTCTGGACATTTAAATCCTGCCTTCAATCATGAAATGTTTGAAATACTTAAAGTTGCTATATAAATACATTCTTTTTATTAATGAAGTGACTTATTAATAAATACAGAATGAATTTCTTTCCTAGCTTTCATTTTCATTTACTCTCAAAAATGTCACTGACGGTGCTTTGGTCTAAGTTATCTATAGCAAGTAAATATCCATCCTATTATGGATAATAATTAAAAAAGAAGCTTATTTATTATTAGGCCTATCTGAGAATGAAATTAGCATTTTCTTAAATACTGTTCTTTGCATATGAGGTTTAGCTGGAAGTCAGTTATTAGTTTGGTTCTAAGCCTTGTGACTGAACTCTCTAAAATTGTCTATAAAATTTTAAGTGCTTCAGAATCTAAACATTCAGTGAACAAAAGCCACTAAGAACTGTTGAAATGGAGAAAGAAGTACTAATTTTGGTGTCAGAGGATCTTGGGCTCATCCTCCTTATCTGGCTTCCTAGCTGGTCATGAGCAGGTATTTAGCTTTTATCTAAGCCTTTGTTCCTTCTGTCAAATGAAGATGAGACCTGCTTTGTCTGTTTCAGAAGAGTATGCTTTTCAAATGTGATCATTCTTGAAAAAGTGAATTAAGAACCTATTCTTAGAAACATTATTTTGGGAAATTTTTAGTGTGTGAATTTATTTTAAATATGTTAACCGCCTTTGACATGAACAATAGATCTTAATAGGTAGTGATCCATTATTCAGTATTATTGATCCAAAGTCCAATCCCTTTTGTAATTCGTTCTACTAGACCTGTTGTGTTAATTTGATAAATGACAAGTGAATCATAAGATTGACCTGAAAGGAAAAGAGATTTTAGGGGACATAGAACATAGGGGACAATACTGGATAAGATTGTTCCTGTAGTTCAACTCCAGGAAGTCTGAACAGGAATCTTGTATAAGGCATCACCTGTGGGCCATAGAAGAGAATCTTCTGTAAGACTTTATTAATTAAAGTCAGCATCTG